AGCGGAATCAGTGAATTAGCCCTTTTAATGACTTTTAGTGTTCCAAAAACTTTCAAGCCAAGAGGCACCAAGACATTTCAATAAGTGTGAAAGTTCATGAGAATTTTTGTAACTGTATAGGGAGAACTTATGACACTGTTTATTTTTTTCTTAGCTTTTCTTCTGAAAAAGCTCAACGCAAAGCAGAGGTGTCAAAATTCATACTTCACTCCAGAGCACTGCTCTCTCTGAGGCAGTGGGGGATTTGAGGCTTCAGCAACTTCTTTGTACCAAAGGAAACATTACAGAACAAATCCAGCCAAGCTTGGGATCTCTCCCACCAAAACTCCTCTGCATATCAGCTCTTTGGTGAGGTCTGCTGGACAAAGCTGCCTACAGTTGTGCCTCTTGTTTGGGGTGGTGGTTGCTTGGCTGGTTGGGTCAGGTTCACAGATGGCTTTGGTCTCATTAAGTTTAGCAGCGCTTTAGCAGTTGGGTTAAATCCCACAAGGACGTTAGGAGGCTGACCCTGGGTGGCATTTTGTAATCAAATGGTCTTCTTTGGGGGAAAAAAGTTAAATGTCAGTCTTTGTCCACAGGGTGCAATTAGGCATTTAGACCAGAAGACTACAGTCAGCTCCTGAAGCACCACAATCTCATTCTCTTTCCCTCAGCCATTTATTTCCTCTACTAATTAGACTTTTTTCATCCAGAGTTACAGTATAGCAGCGTGAGCTATTGGCTGCACATATATTTTCTCATCCTTTTTAACCAACCACTGTTTCATCGTTTTGCCCCTAATTACATAATTGCAAACCCATTGCTGCTGCCATGATTCATAGTTTCTCACACGAGTAAAGAATACGTTTGTTCCCCTTACAACTGATTCAGTGATCACTTGTCTGGAGGTAACCAACATTTTTATAGGATTAGCACATTTTACTCAGACCTTTGGTTTGGTATTACCATGAAGGAGTTTGTTAGTCAGAACGGTGACAGTAATTGTGGGCCAGTGACTGCTCTGTATGTCTGGGCTGCCTGCTAGCACTGATGCCTGCATGGGGAACTATATTCAGAGGTGGGTAGAGGAGCCTAAAACCAAAGTAAATTCCACTGATTATTCAAAATTTCTGCACAACTCATAACTGAGATGTAACCAAAGTGATTTAGCGTGCTTTAATGCACATTGGTGGCATCTACAATGCAAATATAAACATTGTATTTACTATTCAGAATGACCAGTGAACCTCTTGTCTTCTGAGTTTCTAAACGTAATGTTAATACAGCAAAACAGTGATCAAACAGAAAAAAAAGTTTTATTTGGAAAGTATTTTTCCAAATAATATCTCCGCGCCATGAATTGGTGCATTTTAGATCAAAAACACATCTCGAAACATCTAAAAATCGTAAAACCATCTCTTGGACATCAGATAACGTATCTGTAATCATTTCATGCTGTGGCCTTTAGATGTATCTTTCAGAGTCATTAAATGCTTCAGATGTCTGGTTCCTATCACCACTGACTCAGCAAGTTTATGACTTTGTTTACATCTTAACTACTTAATTATGCATTAAACTTTGAAAAATCTGTGGAATTCCTTTTTAAGTAAAAGTGTTATTATATGACTCATGACTCATGTAGAATTTAAAGCAGCTACCAAAAAACTACTGAGTTCACCTAATTCCCTGTGGAATTGCTGTGGAACTTATTAGTACATCCAGCATCTATCAGCATAGGAACTAAAGCTGGTTGCGTCCTTTTTGATCCTTTTAAATGTTAAATCTCCAGAGAAGGAAGTGTGAGCAATAGCACAGCTATGCAAGTGCTGTCACCAACAGAACAGAATGCAGTCATACGCAAGAAAGGAATTAGGAGTGAAATGTAAATGACTGAAATGTAACAGAGTGAAAGGTAGATCTCTTAGAAATATCTTGAAATACAATTTGAAAAAAGTACAAATCTATCAAAATGGTACGAAACCACACATGTAAAACTAGAGGTGGGCGATATGGCAAATTATACAACAGTTAGTTCCGGCCACACAAGCTGATTGGTTGAGAAGCGTTCTAACTGTGCTGTTATTTCGCCATAACAACACAGGTTTTTCACAAACACTGTATCACTCCACTGAAACGCCGTTGCTAAGCAACGACTTTGACAGCTGTAGGAGACCCTCAAGCCATTTGAACATTTTTACTTCTTACTTTGCGCACAAATAGAAAATGGATACTTTTAAGATTACATTTGACCTACAGTCGATTTGGTCAGACTCTGAAGATGAGACTACACTAAATTCCTAACTGTCAGTTGGTCTGTGTGAGGAGCTGGAGAACGAACTGCTGGCTGTGCAGCGAGTGAGCGGAGCTCGTTACTCTTTTTTTACAATACTTGATGTGTCATGATATTTATTTTTTCTGACATCTGATAAGTTACAACAGACGAGGTAGTACCACATTTAAAAAATTATGAACACAGTAATTTGTATTCAACATTTCACACAGTGTGCTGTACTAAATCCAATTAAACAGGGCTAATGATGTTCTCTCTGTAGTCAAATATACAGTTGGGAAATGATTTTTAAGTACTTCCTGTATCCTCAGTATGTTCATATTGTGACGTATCGTGATGTAATTTGTAACGCTAAATAGTGTCACATTGCCCAGCTCTATGTAAACCTAACTAGTTACTACCCACCTTTACCCTGCTCCTGCTGACAGGAGACCTCTCCAAGCACAAGAGAGCCTGGCCACTGTAAAGTAGGCCACCGAGGCCGAACAGGCACTTTAGTACTAGCAGATACTCACATGAATGGAGAAAAGGCCCTTCAGTCTCTCTGCTACCCCCAAAGAGCCTTTCACTACCTTCCTCTGTCACGTCCTCCTCCTGCTCAGCGGGAGGGAAACGCAGATGGAAGGGGCGTGGTCTGTCCGTAAGGGGCGGGGCATGTCATTGTGACGCACCGTTGCATAAATAACTCTAGGTGGACGGTGGGATGGGGGGGATGGGGGGTGGGGTTCGAAATTCTCCGTTGCCATGGCGACCTTCGCGCCTGACTGCGCTCCCATTATTCGGTGGCCGCTAACGGACTCTTCGCTCCCGCAGCGGACTCTCCGGTTAAAGAGGAGCCGAGTGCGGTGCGGAAAGGGAGCTCTGCTCGTTGTGGCTGGCGGACGCCGGTTCATTCTTCTCACCCGCGGTCTCCAGAGCTCCAGGTAAGAAGGTGCCGCCGCTTTTCGGTCGCCGGAGCAACAGGTGCTCGGCGCCGTTTAGCTCCTCCGCTCAGTTCGGTGAGGTGGTTAGTAGCGTTAGCATCTCTGCGTTAGCAGAAATGCGGACTTCATTTATTGTGCTTTAGTTACTATCCTCCCCTCCTAGAGACGCCTAATAAAGCAGAGAGAGGAGTGTGTCTGTCAGCTTCTTGACCTTTTCGCGTTTCAAAAGAAGTGAAGCCTCTTCCCGCCTCCGAGCGAAGTCTTTCCACTTCAGGCTAGCACTAGCTAGTTAATGATGCTCCCGCTCAGTGGGCAGAGACTCAGCTCGAGCAGAGCTCCAGTGCCGCTTCACTGTGGCAGAGAAGTCCCACAGCTCGCTTACTGGGGGCCCTGCACACTTGGGAATCGTGTTTTTCGTCTTTTCGGCGTAATTAGCTCCATCCCAGTTCCGCCAGCCCCCAGTAGTGTATAGAGCCTCTCTTCCTCAAGTTGAATGGGCATTTCTGTAGCCTTCATCTGGGCTCCTGCCCAGAATAGCAGGTGATGCTTTTTGGCCCGCTCTGTGACTGAAGCGCCTCGGGGAGAGGCTTTGACCTTGTGGCTAAGTGAACTCATTTCAGCCCTGTCACAAAAGAAGTGGGAGCTTTGCATTGACTGTTGTAGCCCTAGGCCATGGTACACAGTTCTCTCTCTCTCTTTATGCCTCTCCCTCCTTCTCCCTCTCTCTTTCTCTCTCCCTCTCCCTCTCTCTGAGTCAGTGATGTAGTTAATTGTAAGATAGGCTATTAAGTAAGAATGCAGGCTGTGTCTTGAGCCTGTTTTGAAACTGTACCTTGGTGGTCTATGTTTATTTTTAAGAGTTTACAATTTGTTTTATTGATTTAGTCATTTGTTCACTTCACTGGTGAACTGTTCCAAAATGTTTCACTCACTCATTCTCCTCTCACTCTTCTCCACAAATATAAACAATGTGTACATAATCACAGGCTGGATATTGTAAAGGCTTTTAACCTATAAAAGGATGGAGAAAAATATTAACATGAACTTTTAACTTGTTAGTAATCAGACTTGTAGAAGTTTGGTTACATTCCCAAAGATGTGTCTCATCCCAAATCTCTCTCTCTCTCCCTCTCTCTCTCTTTGTCTGTTCCTATCACTGTCCATGCGTCTCTCACTGACTAGATTTTCACAGTGATTACTTTAAAGAGGCACATTGGGATTTCAGTGTCTGATTTAGCATTGACAGGTTTGTCATTAAATGTTAAGTGGTGCATACCTAAGTCAGCAGTGGGGGAGTGCTCATTGCTTCCATTGCCCTCTTACTTTTTACTCTTTCAGTGGATTGATTTCAAGAAAATGCTGATGGTCTAGCCTTCATAGTGCAACAGGTTGTCACCTAACAATAAAGTAATACAAATTGTAATGTTTTAGGCAGTTTAATTTTTTAATGTTTATATAAGTATTTACAGATTTAGATCTTGCCACAGTGAGTAGAGTACCCCATAACCAGCTCACCATCTGAGTTAGTTTTAGCAAACGCTTCAAAAGAAATATGAAACGTATAAGAGATCTGTATTTGTTTTTTATGTTTGTTCTTATTTCTCAGGAAAAGGGAAGAGACTTCAGTATAATGACTGAAGTACGCATGAATGCACAGATATGCTAGCAGTGTATTGCATTGCTTGCCTGCGCTTGAAGTTCTGTGTAAACTTATGCAGCGCAGTAAACACATTTAATGACATGATTACATTAGGGGTTCGTGTGTACATTCAGTGAACATTCAGTCTGTTTGTTTATTTCTCATGAAGGAACTGCAGTTTGAAAGACTGACCCGAGAGCTAGAAGCTGAGCGGCAGATTGTGGCCACCCAGCTGGAGCGATGCAAACTGGGATCTGACACTGGGAGTGTGAGCAGCATCAGGTAGGTCGAATGGAGCAACCACAACTTACTAATCTAACACTAACCAACAGCTTGCTTACCTACTAGGGCTGTGTATTGTTTGTTGATCATTATTGTGACATCGGCTTTGCAATACTGATGTCGCAGAGGGCTCCAATATGCAAATAAGCCACGGTTTTTACTGAATGCTGTGAGTATCTTGACCAGTCACAGTTCCAGATCAGTGTTTATGTGGGTGAATCGGGTCATTAATTAACCATCACATTTTTAATAGACCGCGAGGCATCTTGCGATCACAATATGTAGAAGGATAGTCTTAGTCCACAGTTTACCCACTAACCAAACCCTAATCTACAGCCTCCTGAACTAACCCTAGCCATTTCCAACCCTAAAACCAGCTGTACACGTCAAATGAAAACAGTGTTTCAAAGCAAAACTATGTTTTTTGGATGGACTGCAGTGGGTTTAGTTCATATGGTGCAGTGTTCACTGCTTGCTTATCAGACCTCCTAAACACAGCATAGAGTTCTCTTAAAGTATACATACAACCATGTGTTTTGCGGTGGTTCGCAGTTTGTTCTTTTGTCGTTTGAAGTAACCCACCTTACTGCATCAGCTATCCTAGCCCAAGCAGTCTCCTCTTGCTTCACACTGTCAATAAATTGTATTGCATCTTTTTGTCTGTTTCGTTGTCTCTTGTGAACTCCGAACAAACTGCAAAAAAGGCTTTAAAACGGTCTTGTCTGTTCGAATGAGGTGCTTCTGTTTACTGAAGCTGCATTGATTATACGAATCATACATTGTTTACAGTGAAGTTAACACTGCCAAACAATGTGGAATCCTCTTTTGTGACACTGCAGAAAACATCCGCAGAAGAGGGCGTCTACTCAAAAACCAATTAGTAACTGTTTTGCAGTAATATCTGTCTCTACTCAAATGTAGACAATGGGTTATATTGTCCAACATCGTCAATTTGGTCTCTAATTGACCACTCAGCCTTCTGAGTGCAGAAAGATTTTAACAAGATCTTATTCAGCATCCGAAACAAGATTTAGTTCTTCAGAGGAGAGGTTAATCAGTCTCCTACAATGAAAATGAAAATCATTAATTGTATTTGAGCAGGAGACAAGGGAGAATGCGTTAAATCGAATTCAATGGCCTGGCCTCTGTCTCTGTTGATAAAGAACAAATCTGTATATTTAATCGTCTGTGCAGCAAGCTTCACATCCTAACACTGCTCAGCTGTGATAGATCGGGGGTTGAATCAAACATGAGTTGTTTTGTTTGTAGACTAGGATGTAGCTTTTCAGTTGATAAACTTGTTGCAGGAGGGCTGTGGAAGTGTTGTTTTAGTTCACGTGGAAGAAATCAGAAATCAGCATAACTAGCCTCATTTAAGCAATAGAACACAAGAGGGAGTGTGTTATCGCGAAATAACATCACGGCTGTAGATCATCACAGCCGTGATGTTATAGCGATAACACACGACCTTGAGTGTTCTATTGCTTTTATACAGCAGTTAAATAAGTAAAGTAGGAAATAAATAAACTGGGCCCTGAATGTGGCATTCAATATGTTTTAAAGTTAGCAGTTCCTTCCGCCAAATTGCAGTTCCTTAACAAGCAGCTTGTTGCTACGTCAGAGTAAGGAACTCTGCTCACTCACTGCACAGCCAGCAGTTCGTTCTCCAGCTCCACACAGACCAACTGACAGTTAGGAATTTAGTGTAGTCTCATCTTCAGAGTCTGACCAAATCGGCTGTAGGTCAAATGTGATCTTAAAAGTATCCAGTTTCTGTTTGTTCACAAAGTAAGAAGTAAAAATGTTCAAATGGCTTGAGGGTCTACTACACCTGTCAAAGTCGCTGCTTAGCAACGGCGTCTCAGCGGAGTGATACAGTGTTTGCGATAAAAACGTGATGTTATGGCGAAATAACAGCACAGTTAGAACGCTTCTCAACCAATCAGCTTACGTGGCCGGAACTAACTGTTGTATAAAAATGTGTAAAACGCCTGCCATTGTTGTAAGGGTAAGATCTGTCTGGATTCTCTCGTGTTTACTCTCATGTTTAGATCTTGAGGTGCCAGTTAACCGTTACTGCCCTGGTCTTAGTGGGTCAGATGAGGTCAGGCTTCTCTGCACAGCTTGTTGCCAGACAGTTGGCTCAAAGCCATAAGCAAGCTGCCTGTACCCAAATATCCTTACAGTGTTTCCACAGCAGATCTCATCTAAACGTCCTCAGCTTCGAATGCAGAATCCTTCACATTCTCTCTCAGCAATCAGCCACAACAGAGATTTCATAATGGCAGCCTGTTTGGCTTAATAAGCTGAAGCTAACCATTTAATAGACTTGTCATGCAAATAATTATTCTTCTTAGTTTGCATACAAAATTACATGCATGCAGTTTAGGATAGTTCTCCATTCTCTGTCTCTGCTCAGTTAAGGCTTGAATTTAGTAAGTATTTAGAAAGTATTGTGATAGCAAATATTTGTTTTATTGAAAAATATATTTTAGCATGGCTGCACACAATACATATCTACTAGAGAAGGATTCACCATTATGGGAATTTTTGCCGATATCCAGTATTTTCCATGATCTGTATCTGCTGATGCTGATACATTTGTAAAATGTGGAAATTGGAACTAAATCAACATTGATTAGCATTACAGATTAGTGTAACGCATATTTGTAGAGAGTTGCAAATGCAGTGAAATAAATAAAACGCAGTATTTTAGTGCAGTAGCCCAGTGTCCTCTTAGTGTTCTGCTCTTCCACAGTGCAATAAATAAAATATATCAACGAATATAAGTTTGAAATGTCTGTCAAATCTAAAGAATAAGAGCCTATTTTTTTAAAAAGCATTTATCTGCTGTTATGGATATGATTCTGATATTAATGTGCATCCCTAGACAATAACGAGCTTTTTAGCATTTTGGGGATCTAAATTTTGTTCAGTATATTTTGTTACAAGGTACTGAGGAAAAAACTGGAAGTAGCCAATATATTAAAAAGTACCTTGAGGAAGAATCCAGTCGCGTTAAGCAAGTGCCCCAATTGTTTAATGAATCGTGGCTCTTTTCAACAAAGGCTCCATTTTGAAGTGCCTGAATTGTGGCCTAGTTCTGAAATAAATCATCAGGTACCCCAGAGCACAATTGTTCGTCAAGTCATTGATTAGCTGAGGTGTAGGAAAACAAAAAATAAGCCTCTGTGTTGTCCTCAGTGGCTAATGGAAACAGCAGCTAAGTAGTCTTATTGTCCAGTGGCGTGGCTAACCGGGCCAAACTCAGGCACAGCCCCAAACATCTGCTCGTGTGAGCAAAGCCTTTGACTTGCTGCTAAATGCTCTCTGTTGAGTCTCATCCTGTCGCGTGGAGCTGTCTTGCTAAACGCTGTCTGCCGGGCACAGCGAGGGAGTATTAAGCCAAAGCTGTTAGACTGTTTTCCTGCCAGATAGGTCCAACAGCCTCCCATGGGCTCGGCATATAGCAGCTCTGTATAGACGTGGCAGTCAGGAATGAGGAGCGACAGGCGCATGCTGTGGCGGCTTTGCTGGGAATGATGGGGATGATGCCATTACAGCATGACTGACAAGGTTTCAGGCTAGCATGCCTGAAGTTACAGGGCTGTTTAGGAATAAGAATTTGCTTGAATTGCGTTTTAGCTTGTTGAAACTGTGAGCCTTTACTAAGGACCGAAATGAGTGGGAATAGCTAGGCGACATTGGAAGTGGTTTTAGAGTGATGCCTGAAGTAATTGGCATTTTCCACACCAAGCAGGTGCATTACCATTTGTTTTTGTTTGTTGTGGTCTGTTTGTTTATGCATTGGCGGAATTGTGTGGTTGAATTCTGTAAAACCCAGTGGGTCTAAAGTGTAAATAAAGAGAAACTGACAAAAGAAGGGCTTTTGAAGGTCCCTCTAAAATTCGGTTATGCCGAATAGCATTATTTGTCTCTTAAATGTCATCTTCACGGTACACCATAAAAAGATGTGGCATGTTTATGCTCAAATGACACATGGACGGAAGTTTTGCAGAGAGGGCACCGTGACAATGACTTTGACTTACGGATATAGCTCACCCAAATAGATGGCATTAAATAAGATCTGCAGCAAACGTGTAAGCTTTGACAGTAGAGGACAGCCAGGTATTTCTCCAGAGCAGATAAATGTACTTCCACTTTGATTCATCTGTACATCCTTGTAATTTTGCATGCAGTTTATAGAAACACGGGCCTATTTCACAATGCACATTCAACTAAGTCGGAGTTCCTGATTAAGTTTTAGCTTCAGAAAACAACTGTGGTTAACTTGATTTATGGCAGCGGTCGACAGCTTTCTCTGTTAACCCACGATTAGATTCTCAAGCTTTGATTTGATTAAAGAAAACGTGACATTTATAACGAAATCGCAAGAAACGGCTTGATTGCTATGAGGAAAAATAAATCGTGCTACATAAATATGTGGAAAGTAATGCATTTAGAATGGTAAAATGTAGAGCTGATTAGTGCTTGTTGGAGTAATAATTACTTTATATTCTTAATATCTATGTAGTATGAAAGCATGATAGCAGATAACAGAAAAGCTATATTTTTCATAAACCAGAGGGGTCCATCTTCATCAGAAGGCTGTCCACAGTTGGTCAGAAGCTCACCCTTAATCATCCGAAATCCTAAATTTAACCTTTTCTGGAGCGGCAGAAGTTGCCGTGGGAATGTAGCCTGCTAAAAAAGTACTCCACTATCATGAGAAAATCCAGTGTTAGTTCAAACTAAGCTTAAAGTTAGCTGTCTGAACAAGAAATCCTGCTTTGTGAGATCACAGGTGTGCATGCGCCTGGATGCTATATCAAACAAAAATACACATTTGAAGCCATGTAATCACACATATGAAGGCACAGATTCAGCACTTGTCTTGCACTGCTAACATGCTCATCACTTATATGCCAAACGACACAATCCAGCATGATCTGCAAGGCCTTTGCTAATGATCTGAGGAAGTGACTAAGTTAAAGACTACA